TTACTCCAAGGTGGATAAGTTAAGTTCACCTCGTTCGTAAAACGAAACGTTGGAACAAAAGACACGACCCCAGGGCACGGGGCAACGTAAATTTATTGTTCCATAAACAATATGTATTGTTATAAAGCCTCTTGTAGGCTTTATTCAACTGTAAACTTGGCAAAGGGTTAATTCTCTTAACAGATATATAATATAAATCATAGGAATGTTAGTGCTATTACAAAGTATATGTTAGTAAGATACTAAATTAAATACATTACAATATTCTATTGACGACCATGGTAAATGGAACATCAGCGAAGCGTAAACTAAAGATTTCATACAAATAAATTATGTTCTTAAAACCTTAGATTTGTAATAAGCAAGTTCTTTTTTTTATATATAATAATAATACTCAATCCACCAGCTTAAGATATATGAAAATTGGGATGGTAAATTTTCGCTTGTTTTCTCAAATAACAAACAATTTATAATGTCAAAAAATTTTTTTTTTTTTTTTTACTTGTCGCCAACTATTTCTATGTAAAATATACTAAAATTTTATTAAATCGTTACAGTAGTTTAAAAGCAATGTTAACACGATTGAGCTGTGAAACGAAAGCAAAAATATCATAAGGATTTCATTTGTTTTGTCTTTGTTTGCATTGCATAGACTATAAAACTACGGGACCAATTTTAAAAATTATTTTTCCTACAGGAAGCTACATCATACACACGTGAGGCTATAATTTACACGGGCGAAGTCACGGGAAAACCAGTAATCATTAATATGAGCTAAAAGAGTTCCGTTTCATTGTAGAATTAAGATACGAACCCATTATAGCAAAAAATTTCAAGCGTAGGTAATTTTTTTCTGAGGTGTCGCGCAGAATTTTCTTTCCGAAATTGGCAACACCTATAAACGCAGACGACACATTGAAATGAACAAAGGATAACGGAGACCGTCTGGTCTGTCCGTGATAGCAGCAGGCTTGTTGTCTTTTGATGTGAAAGCACTAAAAAAGCTCCTCCACTAAATGGCGACTCTGGCAAAAGTTGATTTTTGCAGGAAATGAATGGACCAAAGACACTCAGTTCCGTTCCTAGTAACTAACATATTAAAAAACTAAATTTGAGAAGTTCGAAACTTAGATATCAATACAAATACGAAAAATTACAAATTGAATATGAGTTGCTTATTGAGTTTGGAAAACTAATTTCATTTTAAACATGAAAGAAAACCGGGTTATCATAGAGAAATCAAGAACGTACCGTGGCGACATCTAGTTAGATTTCGGGAAATAATTATTGCTTTGTTAAACTCGATATTTCTTTATGCAATAGCTCATTTACAATAATCGATAGATCATAGTGTACAAAGTATTCGCTAGTACATAACATAACACAATTCAGTTGATTCTTCTAATCTGGTACGTCTACGCTCTAGGGTACAATTTTAATGAATAAAAGATAAGGGCAGGTACGGTTTGGATCCTGGACGCCCCAGGGCATCGGCAATTTAATATCGCGGGTCGAGATACGAATGATTGTTATGTTTATACGATTTATTGTTGTTTACAGATGTTTATATCGGTACAACACTAGTTATGTGTTTGTAGCAATCAATATACTTAAAGGAATTTTAGGATTTTTTTTTTAATTTCTCTTTGAATCAAATCAATATTCCCATATTACCTTGTATATTTATTGATACTAGATACTCAATAAGTCTAATCACGACATTAACTAATTTCTTAAGGATTAAATTTGTACTTAAATTTTATGAAGTGAAAGAAAGTGTCAATATCTTATCGATTTTGACTCTGAATGCGTAGTTTGTGGAGTTCAGATTTTTTGTAGAAAATCGACACTTTGTGGTGCTGCTGTGTCTATATATTCAGAATAACAATGAACAAAGAATATGATTTGCCCCAAAAACATTTCCAGTTCAACATATGCCAGTATTGCAAGCAACTGGGGACGGTTGGGTGAAATCACATTCGATAATATGCCTTTGTTTTATTGCAACTGTGCGTTGTTGAATCCTTTTGATACACGTAAAAAATTAAAAAAAAATCTAAGAAAAAATTACAGACTTAAAAATACAAATCAACGATTACAGTTAACACGGTAATTTCTTACTTACTCTGTGATCACTATTTTGTATGACGTTTACACATTGAGTTATGTGGGGAAATAGTATGCACATTGTGTTTAAATCGAAAAATGTGATTTGGATTTATTTAGTATTTAGAACACTCAGATGTCGCATTGAAGAGGTACAAGCTAGCTAAAAGAGGATTCCCGTTGACGGCGACCTCCTCTTCTGGGGTTCCAAAAATCGGGGGCTGAGTGCGGAGCAATCCCTGCTGGAGTCCAAATTTTCCCCCAAAAGTGAGTGTGCATCGGAGGGGGTTTAGTGGTTATGCCATCCGCGTTTTGGTTAGCCTTCGGAAGGGTCTGTTCGAATGGGGTCCCACACGTCCCCTGTTGCTTGCCAAGCGGCAGCGACAGTGTATAAAACATCCCCCCTACAACAAAATAAAGCTGAACTTCGCTGTTTGTCTGTCTGTCCCGTCTGTCACCGTGAACCGTGATAGCTGAATAGTTGAAACTTTCACAAATGATGTATTTCTTGTTCCTGCTACATCAACAAATACTAAAAATAGAATAAATATTTTAGGCGGGCCCTCATAACAAACGTGCCTTTCGCTCTTTTTATAGATAATGGTATGGAATTTTGCGAGTGCGAGGACGATTCGCACTTGGGCGGGTTTTTTTTTTAAATAGTATTTTAGTTTTTTTATATCCCATGCCTTTAGAAGCGTGCTTAATTTAATGGATAATCTGCTATTGAGTGTACTATTCTAAATGGGAATCAAATTACGCACCTTACGCAATCGAAACTGGCCATTAGGGGTATCAATTGGGGTTACGAAAGTCGATTGGATTGAGGTAAATGCGCAATTTAGCTATCGACTGCGGCGGTCGGTGTTTTAAATGCAATCTTATAGAAAGACTTCTGTGTATATTACTAGACCAGTTGTTTTCCCGCGCCTTCGCTTGCAAAATTATAGCCTAAGTCCCGGTGTATGATGTAGCTTCCTGTAGGTGAAAGAGATTACATGAGCGCATCAGTCTTTCCGAAGATTACCCTCTACAGACAAACAAAGTTCCGAACTTCAGGCATTGTTTAAGTTAATAATAACAGCGTAATCTTAATCACATTAAATATGTGTTTTAACGAATGCTAACCTAAAAAAAGCACAGAATAGATAATGCAAGCGAAGTGATAAAATAGAGGTACAAAAGTAACAAATGGGCCTGCTTGGTAAGAGTTTTCAAGAAAGCGATTTAATTATATAACATTAAAGATCATTTTGGTTCTGTTTTTAGAACAAATTAGTAATAAATTTACTTGGGATTTTCTAAGCGCTTATAACATTATTATAATGCTATAGTACTAAACTTTACTGCTTGGGTAAAGTTTTTGAAATTTATTGTTGCATTACCAGGCAATCACATCTTTATTTATTTTTAATACATACTATTATTTTCAAGAGCAGGAAGATATTCTATTTGATAAATTTTGCATTAATATTCTACTTTTTATAATTATCGAGTTTGAGAAATTCTACAGTTTCAAATGGTTATAGCAGTCGTATGATTTGCGACAGCATTAAGCATCATTCAGCCATTAAATATTAGAGCATTCTTACACAATGGAATACATTCTACATAAGTATTATTTAATATAAGATAGATGAATAGTAAAGTCCCGAGCTTCTATAATAAATGATTCACGATCTATATTTATAGTTTGGTCGTTTTCAATTGAAGACTAATGTGTAAATGTTTCATAATAATTACCAACAAAGATAGATTTAAACAGTAAATAGACAGTAATTCAATATCACGTATCATATACCTACAAACAACACTAAATATCTTTATACAAATATGTCAACATAGTAAATGTTTTAGGGAAGGAGATTGTGTTTATTTGCTCGACATAATTTTTTTCAATAATATTTTTAATATTTAAGTACAGATCATTTTATATAGGAAAAGAAACAACTTTTCGTATTTATATTATACTAGATGGCATTAAGTATATTTTACATCACCCTGTTGTCATGCATGAGTTTTCAAGTGAAATGTAGTAAGAAGTTCTAACCTTGCTATTTTAGATGGCGTATAGTGTATGTTAAACTGCGTTATCGATTGGTTCAAAGAATTTGCGTAGATTTCAGTTTCCAATTAATTTCTGTAACAATTAAGTGCTGATTGGACATTAAGTAATCTGTGTTTTATGTGATTAATGTTTTATTATTTTAATGTTCTGTTCTATTATTTATATTTTCAAATAACTTATTATAATTTTGAACAATGTTGTATATACCAGCTATTATTATAGTATGTAAAATTATTCCCTATAATTTAATTAATAACCTACAGAAGCCTCGACCTCCGCCCGCCCGACTTCAATTGCATTTTCTCGAATAAGCAGCTTTTGAGATAGGTATTAATTATATTTTTTTTAAGTTAGAAATAGATTCTTTTTCTAAAATATATATTAGTGTTATCGTAAAATAAAACAATTAAAGTTTAAGATTGTGCTGTACACCAACCTTCTTTCTTTTATTCTTTATATTTATTTTTTCTTTTATATTTATAGAATGAAACAAAAACGGAATTTAATTCCTTTCCTACTTTACTTAATCCCAAATAAAATGTGTCTCAGAAAAAATAAATGTCCGTTCCAAATGAATAAATAGGATCATCCTTGCTTGAGACTTGGCTAGCTGCCTGGTCAATAATGTAAATTCCTAATAAAAAATTAATTGCCAATGCAATCTACACCTTCGCCAAAAGATATTAAATCTTCTTTCGTAATATCATTATCGATTCCCGCTGTTATTGTTTAAATTGACTCCAGGGGAACTACCTAAAAATTGTGTAGGCATTTGGTATTATAAAAGCGTTGATACTGCTTCAGACGAGATAATATTATTTGAAACATAACAGAGTAAACATAGTTTCGCTAAAATGGAAGCTCGTGGCAGTCTCAATTTTAATCTCGATAAATCGAAAAACCTCGCCATGAGTCTGTCTAAAGATCCAATAACAGCTGGTGTGTTTGTAAATGGTTATAAAGATGGAAATCCAAATGCATTTCCAAAACCGACTGGTGACAGTTTTACTTCAGCAGGAGCTAGTTTGAGTATACAAAGACCGTAAGTATTTTGGTTCTTAATAAAATAATGCCACATATATCTCAAAATAAAATAGAATAGATACAACTGATTTACTTGCGCAGAAGTTTAAATTGCGAAGCGCAACAAATTGGACTTTATAGTCGAAGTCATAGGACAATAAAGTGGACTTTATATTAGATTTAGCGTAAAAAAAAACTCCGCAAACAAAGTACAATTTATGAAGTTGCAAAGTCGTTCAAATAAATTAATGGCCACTCTCAAATTATTATTCTTACTATATAACATCAGTATTTTATAATTCTTTAGGTGATAATATATCTACTTTTGGCACACTACCTCCAGTCTTTCTCTTCAAATGTTACACGAATCAAAGGTTGTCTGGAAGAGATCGCTTTTAGCGGTAAGGCCGCCTTTGCCCACCCTAGCATTGGCAATATTGTTAGCTTAATTTTAATAATTATGTGTGAGCAACAAAGTGTCAATTATTATTATATATAGTAGTAAACTGAAGTTTCGGAGTAAACCAAAAACTTGTACAATAACAATTGAATTAGCAGTAAGAAGTTATTTATAAATAATTTTGGACAAATAGCAGAATCACACGTCACTCAAAAAATCTGTTTGTCATCACAATAATTATAAACTATTCTTTTGTAGTCCTGGCGGTCTTTCCCTCACCGGCACCCACATCCCAGATTTTGGGAATCAAGTGACCACATCTGGTCGTGCCAATATTCTAGACGCAAATGATCATAAAGTGGCTGTCAATGCTTTCACTTCGAGAGTCCATCCATCAGGTCCCACTCCGAACTACTCGATTCATGGAGGGGGAGTTAACTACTCATTCAGGTAGTCATTCGACACATTCTGTCATTCATTTATAATTGTTATTAAGTTCTTAAATACTTTCTAAAGTGCGCCATCTATAGTAGTTTTGTATAATTAACGAAAATTGGTGTTCGATTTAGCTCTAGTGAACAATGAAATTGTAGAGCTATTTAGAATGTATTGAATATAAATATATTACTTTGTAAATGCCGACATTTAAATGTGTTATATATACGGAGCAAGCTTAGATAATATATTTCGGGTGTTATAATAAAATAATTATCATTGGAGTAGGTATTAATTGCTTTTATGAAATGTGTAGAAATTATAATACAGAAGAAAATAAAACCAAATATGTCTGTAAAATTAAAAGCTAATTATGCCTCTAATTTTTATAAAATAAACAACACGATTTTGTTTTCTTTTGCTTTTAAATTTTGATGGATTGTTGATCAAAATTAAAGGCAGAAGAAAACATTTCATTTTTTTGTAACTTAGTATACCCATGAAATCCAATAGCTTCAAATGCGTTATCTTTTTGTTAATTTAATTTTATTATTTTACAGAGATCAGCTCGGTGCTAGTGCATCTGTATCACATACACCAATTGCCAAAATAACAGAACACTCTATATCAGGGTCGGTGAATCTTCACAAGACTCCTACATCGTCGTTGGACCTCAATGCACACACTAGCCGTATGCAAACCCCTTTCGGAAATAGCCCTTGGCAGCATGGAGGTTCTATCACTTTTCGCAAACAATTCTAACGAGGTGTTATTAATGTTAATACCTATTATGAAGTGTAACACTGTAATAAACTATGTAATTATTTTACTTTTTTTCTTTTCTAAAGTCTATAAATTACTATATTGTAAAAAAATCAGCATCGAGCACAACATGAGTTCAATAAATTAAAACCTACTTCAAAAGGATTTAAAGGTAATATGTAATGATGTTTTAATGAAATTGGCTTAGTGTAACAAATGGTAGGTTATTTTAAGGGGATTATATCGCTTCAATTATTACGGTTCAAGAAGTTAGAAGAAAAACCCTTTTAAGCAAGAGTTAAATATAAAATATTTGTCATACCAAAGGTCACAAGTCTCATTAGTAATACACGAATATATAAGCCAAAAAGATTTTTTGACATGCCGCGTATGATGTATCTTCCCTAAGCTGAATAAAGATAGTATAGAAAAATAAAAACAAAAAATTTTACAAGCTGGAGAGCTGGAGAGAAAGCATTCATACAATGATTGGAAACCATACAGTATGCGAATAATTTTAGAGTCTTATTTAATAATCTATGACTAATAGTATCTCTTAAGTTCATTGACAGATTTTTTTTTTTATATTCTTTCGAGATAACTGAGAACGACTTTGATAATTACCGTAAAGTAACGAAAATTGTTGCAAATTTGCCAATTACAAATAATGTTAAAAACGAACTATTTCCATTGAAATTGCTGCATTTATAAAAAACTCTCGTAGCTGTGTACAGTGATTCAATATAGTCAAAACTTATGTCTTCGCTACGAACTTTTTAGAGTCGGGATTCTTCGTTCCTCTGATTCACCGCTTTTTGTGTCAGAAACTTGGAAATCGTGGGAATATTAATTCTAGAATTTGAATAAATTTTATATGCTCGCAATAGAATTGTGTTTTTGACGCGAGAAGAGACTTTGGTGACGATTTTAAAATAAAAAAATATTTCTAATTTAGTGTAATGAAAAAAGACACATAATTTTTCTTGGAAATATGAAGATACAGTTTTAGAATAATGTTAGTTTAATTTTGAAATCGAAACTTTTAATATAGCATTGATTTAACGTTAATCTTACTAATATTATAAAGGCGAAAGTTTTTAAGTTTGGATTTTTGTTACTTCTTCATCCAAAAAACTACTGAACGAGTTTTGATGGAAGCCTGGATTAATATATAGGCTATTTTTTATCCCGGGGACCACGCGGGCTTATTTGCAATTGCTTACATTCATAATATTTATTTGCCTGTTGCTAAACCCAATATTGTAATGTGGCTAAATGTTAGTGTGGTTAGGTATAACATGTTTTGTTGCGTTTTGTGATAAAAATACTCAGATATTAAAACAAATATGAAGTAACCACAACACCCGAAACAATTCAGATTTTTTTTTCATTCATCGGCTAGGTGTCGAACGAATCTGATACGGAGCTTTTTTTTCGAACAGGAACTAGTTCGTCCGTTAAAAAAAGATTTTACTAATAGTTGCAGTCAGGATATACAAATCTGTCAAATTTCTTCACTTCGTTTAAAACCTTAATTTTTGCAGGTAAAGTTTAAAATCTACTATAGAAATTTGACATATTGTGATAAGCTGACGAGCAGCCGTGTGTACCATCCAATCGGAAGCATTTTATATTAAAAGTTAATCATTAATTTAATATACGAACTCTGTGAACTTCTACTTGAAGCTCGCAATAAATTACTTAACAATGAATACTATTTAAGTTTCATACAAAAATCTAAATATTAGTCTTTAAACTAAACAAATATTTGAATAATATGCAATCGTTTACATTTCAACAGATTAATCTTTAAGAAACGATAAACTTAATAATTGAGCGCTCACCTACAATATTTTTACTAATTAATTAATGGTTATAAGATAAACGTAGTAGCTCGGTGGCGTGGTGGATAAGCGCCGCGGCCCACGATCGTAGTCGTTAAGCAACTTTCGCAAGGGTCGGTCACGGGATGGGTGACCAAAAAATTATTATCTCGAGCTACTCCGTGCTTCGGAAGGCACGTTAAGCCGTTGGTCCCGGCTGCATTTGCAGTCGTTAATACCCTCCAATCCGCATTGGGCCAGCGTGGAGGTTCATGGCCCATCCTCCTTAACCATCCATAAGGAAGGCCTGAGCCCCTGCAGTGGGGACGTAAAAGGGTTGATGATGAGATAAACGTACCAACTTAGGTTCTATTCGAATCGGGATCCAACAAACGTGGACCTTTTATGCTATCCGTGTTTTCAAATACAGACGAATGATTTCGCCGACACATTAATGGGATTATGTCCATGAAATGAGCAATTCTGACGCATCCGTGAAAGCATAAACGTCACATCTGTACTTAATCCGCCATCTTGACGGTATATAATTGTAGGAGGTGCCTCCATGGACGCCTTGTTGGTAATCTCTCTGAGGGAAATGACTGTCACAGGTGTGTCTTCCGTTGCGAACTGCTAATAGCTTTTAGACAGCAAGTCGTTTATAGTGAAGCAAGTGACTTTGTCGATATCGATAGTTTTTTACTGATGATATTATATATTGATTAACAATAAAATAAATTTTAATGACAGTGTGTTAAAGCTCATAAGAGTGGAAAATGAAGACCACAGAAAATATGGATAGACCGCGTGAGGAATGATAAAGAAGAAAGAGAGTGAACGATGTAACGGCAGTCTGATAGAGAAGAATGGAACGATAGAACACACGGTGCCAATTTCAAACAAATTAGAACTTTGAGGAAGGAAGATAATGAAAAATGTTCTATGAGCAACATGATAAATTATATTTAATCTAGACCTATAATTGTTTTTTTTTAATCTACTTACTATTTTATTAACGACGAAATCCTCGGAGAATTCTCAATGGAAAAATTATATAAATATTACAAGACATCAACTATATTGCTTCGATTCTAACTGAATACGCGATTAACGTACCTACGTACTAAAATCAACAGTATACCTTTAATCATCCCATCCATAAAAATATCTAGTAATAAATTAATGGATATTCACAATGTAGTTATTAGAAATATATTTGTTTCTAGAAATATATTGGATAGATAAATGAAGCATTATCACTTTTAGTGTCCTTTGTTTCTATCTTATATAAATTTATTTAAATAATAGTATTCTGCTACACTAAAATATAATAAATAAAACATCGATAATTATATATCGACAACCCAACTCTATGCCGTTACCCAGATGACATACAGTAATGGCCGACTTGCAGCAACATATGCTACCACCATAGGAGAATTAGCCAAACGGCCTTCTTCACTTATAGGCTACTAGTTATAATTAAATAAAGCAAGACTTTCAACCTTATCACCTAACTTAAGTGGTATGGCCACATGTGCTTTTTAGTGCGATACTTTATTCTTATGAAGGTGTAATGTTAGTTTCATAAAATTTTACGCTGAACCGTGACTTTTTAGAATAAATATTTTATAAGACGGTCAATGGTTGTTAGAAAAGAGAATGATACTATGTTTTATACCCATTTTCACTAACCTAGAATAAGGCGTAGCTTAACTAGGAAACTAATATTACGAATCGCCTAAGCAGATTAGTTTAATTCCAAATAAATATTTTTTCGTTTATCCCTTGTCATATTTATGACCTGTCATATACGCAAACGCCTTTTTTTATACCGAGAGGAACTGACCTTAACATGCCATCGACCTGGGCGAGAGGCCGACTGAACCCGGACTCTCCCACTGCAAGGGAGCGGTCCAGTGCAGTGGGCCTACCGTGCAAAACCCCCCGTACTACTCTCTCGTTTGATCCGGGTACCTGGTATCTTATAATAAGTCCCAGATAATGCAAACGCTTAGCGCAAGGCGCAACATAACGAATATCATAACTTAGGCATTGTTTCATTTCGTTAGGTGTTTCCTAGTCAATGGTGAAATGCACTTTTACATTAAGCGATTCCTAATTTAAGTTTAGTGAAAACTGTTATTATTCTATTATTTCAGTAAAGTTACAAATTCGGGAGAGTCGGTGCAAATTTGCTACGGTTACGGAGTTTGAACAAAGGTTGGATGTCATATTCTGTCATTCGTATAGTTATAATTGAATATAATTCGTATAAGTATAATTATGATTGACATTATTAACGATGGCAAAATATTCAATCGATGGGAAGCGACGTCTTATTCCATCAGATGTTCAGCACATTTACATCGAAGGAGTAATAAAAAAATAAACAGATTTTTGTAAGACTGATTTTCATTCGTGGAGAATGTATAAGCAATATATTGTTTAGTTAGTATATAAAATATATCAAAAATATTCCTATTATGTATCTGTATTCAGAGCATAAACAAATGAATAAACATAGAACTCGGAAGCAATAAACAAATCAGTATCATACCATTAACGCGACGCAGATCGTCCGACCGCCACTTTGAAACCATTTATCACTCAATTTGGCTCGGCCTACATAATCTATTACTGAAATATCTACTAACTAGTAGTAGGGGATGATACTACCACATCCCTTACGTCAGTCTATCTCCGAGCACCGCGGGGGTTGCACGTCTCGTGCGGAAAAAGGAGCGGGAAAACTCTAGATACGCGCGGAACTTTTTAAAAGTTTCTTTCTTAATCAAACTGTTTGAGCAAAACTTAGACTTGAATCATACAGTGTTTCTATTTTGTTTGAAATACAGTGTTTTAATTATTATTAAAATGGATCATATTTGGAAGTTGATTCTCATTGTGTTTTTATTTCTTATTGGTAAGTATTATATTTATTATTGGTAAGACTTGCTTGCAAATATTTAAGAAGTTCTCAGTTGCATAGACACGGGACGGATAAAGCCGGACATAAATGGATTAGTTCTCGCATAACAATTCAAAATTTACAATAATAATAATAATGTGTAATTATTTGATTTTTTAACGCTATTATTTGAAGGTACAAGAGTTTCTAATTTGTAATGATCCAGTTTAGTTTTCGTTAGCAGTATTTTTATGTGATCGAATTATTCAAGTTTATTTTAATTGTATGTCAGGTCTTCGCAAAAGGTAATTAAGTAATTCTAAAATAAATAATAATCCTTAATCTATTAAGATCGAATTGGCTTGCAGACTTTTCTTTTATATTTGTTTATGACAGGTAATGTACGAATTA